TTTTCGACGGTGTTTGACAGCACGCGTGCGCGACTCTGTGCTGTTACCTGAAGTAACAATATTCAGAAAATATTAACTTTAATGCATTTATTAAAAACTGTTTTATTTCTTGATACTTATACTCGTATTTTATTGCTATATTATTAATATATATATATAAAATTTTATATGTAAGTAAAAATTGAAACATTGAAAAGATATTATGTATAAACAAATGTACACATAATCGCGCGCGCGCGTGCGTGCGTGCGTGCGTGCGTGCGTGTGTGTGTGTGTGTGTGTGTGTGTGTGTGTGTGTGTGCGCGTGCGTGCGTGCGTGCGCGCGTGCGTGCGTATTTAGTAATTTAATGAACTTTGCATAAAAAAGTATGGACAAGAAAATAAAATTTATTGACTCTATTGAAAAAGTAAGGAAAAAAATGGTTTTAATCCTGTATGTATTGCAATAATGTCGAATATAAAATATTCATGATGAATCTTGAGATATAATAATCAGATCATTTAGCCGTAATCGAATAATTTAGCAGTTAATCTATCGATCTTGCACGAGAGGCTTCTTAGATGATTTTATGTACCGTTATTTGTCGTAATTATGGTAAAGTAATGGATGTGCACCGATTACTACAGGTAAAGAAATCACTTATTTCCGTTTTCTGTTTATCTCGTATCAAGTGAATGTAACTATCAATTCCATTGGTTCTGATCCAGTAAAATTAGCATCTGCTATAATTAATTTCATATCACGATTAAAGTCTTTATATAAATGATAAATTGATTCGTTATTTTTCGAAAGTGTTGTACAACCAGTTTCAGATATTTTGATAAAATTACGATTATTGTTTTCAATTTGCTGCATGTTAAAATGGTTTGGAATGCAGAACTAGATTTACACCATACTTTCGAAATATCGACTCAAACATTTAAGGTAGTACTAGCGCGATAATACCGTTCAAAAATTTAGTCCTGTTGTGACGCTCGATGGCGATATCATATCCCGCCAGAAAGAGAAAACTTTCGATTGTTCCTGTCCAAAGTCACACGCACACGCGGAAAGAAAATGAATACAGAGGTAGACCCATACTAACGCCGGTGCTATCAATGTTCGTTAGCCGTTCCCTCTATTTCTCATCATTCCCTTCAGTTGCCAAAGAAAAACATTGCGTTCTTTTCGCTGCTCTATTTTTCTAACCAAATAGTCAAATATTATGACCTTTTTTTTACAATATCTGTTTCATGTTCCTTTATCGTGCTCGTATTTTATAACAATCTTAAGAATGGTATGGATGCTATAATTAAATCTGATGTTAACTTGAGTTACGTATATGCTTCACATGTTAAATTGCATATTTTGATTGCAATTATTTCAAAAAACTAGACGGTCAATATGTTTCTAATTGCACACAAACATAAAGAGCACTTCAACTTATTTGTATGCCAAATTTTAGCATATTTGTAAGAAAATCATTTTATGCTAGTACTATCATAACAAAAATAAATGAAATGATAATTGTTATAATCATTAAAAGCTTATAATTGTGAAAAACATTCATTTTGTTTACCGATAAATGAGATAGAAAACGTGGCGTTATTATTACTAGAAAAGTGTTATTATTGTATTATTTATTAGGGAATAATTTTAGTCCAAATTGCACACATAAATTGTTAGATAAGAAAAATAAATTCATTTTGCGACACAGAATTGCGTCTTACGCAATTATTTCAGTCGCCCAATAGTTAATTAAAATTTATATATACATATATGTATACGGTATGTATATCTGAAATAACGCTTACTGATCATGTAGGGTTATTCCTAATAAAAAACTGAGTGAAAAGTCCTTTATCATGTTGCAATTTTCGTAATACTTTTTTTTAATTATCCAATGAACAAAATGTCTAAAACGTATAAGACAACTTTAAGATATCTTTAAGAGTTTTTTAAGAAACATTTTCAAAATATTTCACAAAGAACAATGAAAGATATCTTAAAATTGTCTTATACATCGATTTTATTCCTTTATTTGGCAATTTTTAGAAATTAATATCTCGTTAACTATTGCGAAAATTGCAAAATGATAGAGGACTTCTCGACTCAGTTTTTTATTAGAAATAGCACTGTATAATTAGTGGGCATTATTTAAAATACATTCCGTATATATACATATACTATACAGAGTGAGGCATTTAAAACAAGTCACCTGAATAACTCATTGGTTTTAACAATACAGTGAAACTTCCTTAACTTTAATACTCTGTAACTTACTCTGTAACTTTTTCCTAGAATATTAGAAGCGACAATAATTACGAACAAGGATATATAAGGATGAAGACATGCTTAAAACTATATATTTTCTTACAAACACAATTTGATTTACGTTTCGACTTCACGGAGTCTTTTTCAAAATCTACATAACATCTAAATCATACATGAGTAGTATACATGAGTAGTTTAATGATACATATAATCAAACTTAATATACTATCATTAAAAGACTAAAACGGAAAGAAAGATCTTCATATTACATCTATTTTGTGAGGATGGTCTTGTTGTAATTATCTTCAAATTCTCGATATTTTCATCGTCGAATAATAAAATGGAATTGATAGAAGATTTTTCATTGTTCAGTGAGAATCATAATATGAAGTAATTATTGAGTTTAGATTGTAAATTGTCAATAGTCAGTATAAAATTATAAATAAAATAAAGAGAAATAAGAAAAGACTTACACCATCATTTCAAATTTTTGGTTTTTTTATCGTTGACGTCTCCCTTTAAATGTTATACAGATTTTGAAAAAGACTCCGTGAAGTTGAAACGTAAATCAAATGTATTTGTAAGAAAATATATAGCTTTAAGCATGTCTTCATTCTTATGTACTTACTCGTAACTATTTTCGCCCTATCTACACAAAAGCGCTCGGCAAAAAATTGTAGGACACACTGTAAAAATTTATAAGTCTTTATCAAAAAATTAACGACATATCAATAATTTGATATAAGACATATTTAATGTCGTTAATTTTTTGATAAAAACTTATAATTTTTCCAAAAGAAAATTAATGTTATCGAAAAATTAATGTTAATTATTACAATGTTACATAGTTTCAATATTTTGCTATGTAATTAATTGCGTAATAAATGTAAATTATTTATATTTTTCTTTCCAAGATTAAATATTGACAATAAAAGTTTTTCTTAATTATTTTTTATATTATTATTTTATACTTATAATTGTATTAATATTCGATATGTATTATAAAAAAAAATCTTTTAATTAATCTACAACTGCTCATTATAAATTAAAATTAAAGAATTAAAATAAAAGAGTCAAACTGAATTAATTATGTTAATAATCAATCTTTAAATTGCAAATATTTCGATCATTTTACTAGAGATGATCATCGTAAAATGATCAAAACGCGTTTTTAATTTAAAGATTGATGTTTATTGATCATTAGTGATTAATCGATTCAGTATGGCTTCTTTAGCCCTAATTCGTTAGTTTGAATCTGTATTCATTTTAAACCTTATTTAAAGTAGATACAACTGCTCATTATAGTTAAACTAGAGAAAATCATAAGTATATGACAAACTTGTGACGAGAAAAGAAAAGGTATGTTGTCGTTTGACACATTCATTCATCGTAGACCTCGTAGTAGACTTCGAGCATTTCGATGTGAATGGTACTGTTTGATCATGTACAAGTTCTATATAGTAACGGTTCAGCGTAGCGTGTGCTAATTACATAATAAACCAACGTCCATCTAATAAAAATCATTGATCATGGTTATAAAAACTTATATCGTATGTCATTCAAATTACCGTCGGTTCACGTTATACACATATATTTAAAAAAACGATATCGAGCATGCGAATACAAATTTTCTTCCATATGAATGATACGGATGAGACAGATACTAATTCATGAGATCGAGACATAGAGGAATTAATTAGAAAAAAAATTAATCAAAATTTAATTTTCCAATTTTTTGTTAGAAACTTCAAATAAAAAATAAATTTATTATTATTCTTATACATGTAATCATAATAAAATAATGCATTCGTCTTTTAACTCGAGAGTGGTCGCGCTATAGTCATTTTGCCAAACTCTTTCGTTTTCTATTTATATCTTTCAATTTATTGGCACTATTATATTTTTACCTTTACATAAATATTTATTAATGTTTTTTCGTATAGTATGCGAAAATAGATGACGTAAACACGCTATCTACATAAAATTTGATATGTTTGGAATGTCGGTCTACAAGACCATGGCGCACATGGCGCACTTACGTTAGTCTTCTTTTTCTTTTTTTATGGCTCTCGTAGCCAGCCCGATCGCTATCTGTCCATAAACTAATTCGAAAATGCAGGTAACAAATAAAAAAAAGAAAACAATCACGAAAAAGCTCAGCAGCTTGACAAATTAGGGATGATGCGACACCCAAGCCGAGACGAAACACGTCCATCCCGGTACGCCTATTAACGTTAGGGTCTGCCACTTTAAAAAATCGATGTGACTTTAACCTGACCTTGGCGACACTATCCAAAGTAAAATTGATAAAATCAGTAAATAAATCTTTTTGAATCCTACAACTTTTGTCAAAAGCACTTTTCTGTAAAACTTATATTTTTTTAAATATCCCGATATTTTTGGAACATCCTGTTACGTTTTTTTTTTATCCAATGCGCTTGTTGAAGCTGAGTAGGAGCTATAATAGAAACATATTGTATGTTCCTATCATGCAATGCGAGCAAACCTCTAGTGATCAATGAAAAATTTTCTCAATCATTCGCGTGGCAAAAAAAGGTTATTTTTTTAATACTTCTTTTTCTAAAAATGCTGCCCTAAACTTACCGCCCCTAGACTACAGTCTAGATTAGGCTCCAGTGCTAATGCACTGCTTAAGCGTCCTATCCTACACCAATCTTCTTTACGTAAACCTAATAGTTCTTGGGTCTGTAATAATGCTGACAAAATCGAATTATTTACAAAGTACCTGCAAGGCGTCTTCTTACCAAACTCAGAGGGTTCGTCAAAAGTTCATATTCCTGGCGCATTAGAACCAATTCATCCGTCTGATTCTCCTATAAATAAAATTACAAAAAGTGAATTACTTACGATCGTAAAGAAGTTAAATAATCACAAGGCATCAGAATACGATTTTATAACTGCTCAAATTCTAAAGCAGTTACCTGACAAAGATATTAATTTCTTAATTCACCTATATAATGCTACAATTACAAGAAAAATAGTGCTGTTTACAACGAAAGACAGCACAAATTTTAATGATCCTCAAACTGGATAAATGTGCAGAGGACATCAAGTCTTATTAAGGCCAATCAGTCTATTATCGATTCTTTCGAAGGTTATGGAAATTGTGTTCCTCTCGAAGCTAGCGACGGTAATCCTCCAGAACAAACTCTTATCCAACCATCAATTTAACTTTAAATACAGTACAATTAACAGTACAATTATACAGTACAATTTAACTTTAGACACAGTACGATTGAACAAGTTCACAGACTTGTAGAAAATATTCACCTGACTTTTGAATAAACAATTTTGCTCTGCTATATTCTTGGACATATCACAAGTCTTCGCATCTGGCATAAACGATTATTATTTAAGATCAAAAATACATTGCCGAATACTACTGCCTTATCTGAGAGACAGACTTTCTGGTAAAACAGGGAGTAGCTACGACTAACCTCCATAGAATTCAGGCTAAAGTAGTGTGTTGGGACCCACCCTCTACCTACATTATACCGCGGACCTGCCGGTCATCATGGAGTGATCACGGGGATGTTTACTGACGACACGTCCTAACAGTAGATAGATGCCCGAAAAAAGTTTCAAATAAAACGCAAAACTGTTTAGACAAAATTTCAACTTGGCTCAAGGACTGGCGCATTAAAATTAATAAAAATAAATCAGTCCACGTCACATTTATAATCAAACATGATTCGTGCCCGATAGTGAAACTAAATAGCATATAAATCTCACAAGCTATTGAGGCTAAATATTTGGATCTATATTTGGGCAGACGCCTTACTTGAAAGAAGCATATACGTATTCACGAAACGTAAAGCTTTCGGATTAAAACCTCGCAATTTATAATGGCTTATGAACAAAAACTCTCAGTTATCAATGGAAAACAAACTGCTTTTGTATAAATGTATTTTCAAATTGATTTGGTCATATGACTTCTAATTATGAGGCACCTCTGCAAACTCAAACATTGAAATCTTAAAGAGATTTCAGTCGAAAACCTTACGCATGATTATTAATCGCTTCTTGGTATATCACAAACGAGAAAATTTATCAAAATTTAAATATCCTTCCAGTTAGAAAGGAAATAAAAGCATGTCATAAAATATAAAGAACGAATCAACACTCCAATCAACTGGCATCCAATCACAAACTGATGGACGATAAGATCATGGAAAACTGAAGAGAAGAATGTCCCAGAATCTACTTAAATGAAAATATCTTATGTACTAAACGTTGAATAATCACTCTTTCTGTGCAAGACGTTTCTTTTCTTCCTACTTACATAATTATTATTTCTGAATATCTCATATTGACAGATTGCAATAAACAGTTCCTTAAAAAATATTAATTGGAATAAACTACATATTATGTACTCATTTCATTTTCTAAAAAAGTTTTTTATCGTCAAATTGAGGCATTTGATTTGAAGATGTCAAAATCACAAAGCGATATAGAAGAATTTGTAAAAAAATTTTTTTATTATAAACGTTTTATAATCCAGTTAAATGCAACTTTTAAAGGCTTTGTAAGAGATCGGGAAAATTCCAACTAGATCTTGTTCTAAGTGAACAAACACAATTTGAAGGGAGTAACAACCCATTCGAACGCTTAGAACCTTGCTAAAATCAACTGTGAACTCGAAATTCATTTTTCACATTAATCGCCTGGTAGCCATCTGTCTACGTTGTTATTGCCATATTGCCGAAAATAAAACGCATTAGTTTTCAGCAAATTTAGAACAAAGTATATAAGTTATTTGCCTGTGGTATGACATTACAATTACATGTGAATTCAACATGTGTTGCTGCCAACTTGTCGTGTATGCTGTCAACGATTTATCGCTGTGCATAAAGAGTAACATGACAGCAAATTATTAACAACATATATCCAGTCATACATTCAACAAAAATGCAACAACATGTTGAAAACAATTATATATTTTTTGCACTCCTATTCCTCTCAAATATTATAAAATAATAAGTAAATAAATTCTTCTTCTTGTTGAATTGTTCACTTTATTACTTTTAAGAATTTAATTATAATATTTAATTACAAAGTAAAATATTGATAATGATCAATTATCAATACTTTACTGAACAATTTGAGAGGAATAGGGGTGCAAAAAAATATACATATATTCAATCTTCTCGACATGTTGTATACAATTGGATATATTATTTAATTGCAGAATGATTGCGTTAAGTTGAAACATGTTGGAGATTATATATACAGAGTGTCTCTTAAGATGGGTCGGGGCGCATATTCGAGCGACGACGAAGCGCTCTTTCCCCCTCCTTGCGCACCGCCGTCGTCGCCACTCGACTGTGGGCCGTCCTACAAATTCGCGCGGCGCGGCTTAATGGCTTAGACGTTTCCTTTTTTAATTCGAAAACTACAGCGGGTATCTCAAAATGGCATAAGAATTTTTTGTTCCCTTTGATCCATTCTCCA